GCATATGAGATCTCGAAATTTGGTCTGGACCCCAAAATTTGTGAAAAGTTGAACAAGAGACCCTCTTTAGTACAAAGACACTAAGATTCGAACCAGACCCAGAGTAAAAAAGGTCAGTGTTGAACCCTGATAAAGCAACAACTTTATAATTAGTCATGAAAATTTACAAAATTCGAAATTGCCGCTTTAATTACCTAAGCATTATGTTTTTCATCAATTCTTTCAACATAATAACGCAATGGCTCAGTGGTAGATCGGTGGTCTCCTAAAACCGGGGGGTCCCAGGTTCTAAACCAATTTGATACACTAGTGCCCTTTGGTAAGGGCACCATAAGGCATTGATCCTCATTACCAAGTCCCTTAGGGAGGACTTAAAGCCGTTGGTCCTCTGGTTGCTTACAATATACACATGCTTTCTTTAATTAGCAGTCAGGTAAAACAAACAAACAAACAAACAAATATCACATGTACACGTACATGTACTTCTGTTTTGTTTCGGTTATTATTTTTGTTTTGTTGGTGTACATTCTAAATCCATTTAGTGCCATGGAAGTTCTAATCCTCATTGTAACACATCTGGATAGAAAACAACCCTCACCAAGCTGTACGTCTGTCAAGAGTAAACAGCTGAAACATGTGCATACATGTACATGTACATACTGTTCCCCCCACATTATCTATAAATAGCCCAACATGGCAAGGGGTTGAATGAGATCATACATGTGTAATCATGTCCTCTATTGACTGACTGAACATGCATGGGGAGGAACTCTCGGAAAGCTGCGCAAAAGTAAAGGGGGAAGTAGCATGATCACTGTCATCCTGATATGATCTACATCAGTACGTTACATGTAACCGAGGAACTGAGTCGAAGATTATAATATTAAGCCTCAGACAGACGAGTTTTCCAACCAAAAGGCTCTGAATATCCCATCAAATGTTAGCCTGATATCGGTAGGAAAGGGCTCAACTCTACCTCTACTTGCCTGACTAGTGACTAAACCAGTGTTTTGGGTTGAAATAAGAGGTAATCCAAGATTTGCTTCCAGTTTTAGTTATTCAAAGATAGAGGATTAGGATTTAGGAATAAGGATTTGAACTGGGTTTTAGGTTAGGTTTATTGTTTCCTAGGGCACGTGTCCTGTCCCAGGGTAGAAGTGAGGAGTTTGGATAATGTTCATCTAGAATATTCAATGCTGAGTGGGGGGGGGGGGGGCAAGGGTTCCTGGAAAATGTACCGTAGAACAAAAAGAAAAAGTAAAGTTTGCAGTGGTGTGATTTAGAGCTTGAATGCCCAGACAGGAATTACAAGAAGTTTGCCGATTGTCACATTGATTTAGCATTGATGTGGGGGATGTTATGATTCAGCACCATGTCTTTGTTGTCAACTCTTCCTGCCTTATACAAGGATTGGACACATCAGCCTTTTTTATGTGAATTTGTTTGGACCTTGTTTTCTTTTATTGATTTGCCTGCTTGATGCATATTAACTTAAGTCTTCTTTTTTCTTTTTTCCCTTTTTTTTTTGTTAGGGGGCAACATTATGTACTTACATGTATTTCATTAATGTGAAATTTACTTGTCATTAATTTTCCAAATCTACATACAGTGGTAGACCTTTAGTGTACATCACAGCTTGATACTTACAGTGGCATGGTACCTACATGTACACTGTACATGTACATGTACAAATGTAGTTCAGCCCCCACCAAAAAAAAAAAAGGAAAAAAAAAAGAAATTAGCCCCACCCCACCCCTCCTTTAAATTCATACCCCTTCAAAAATAAAAATGGGGAGGCCTTCCTTGATGTAACATAACGTTTACTAACATATTAAAATGATATGCATACTTTTTATACAAAAGTTATTTTTGACAATCTGAAGGCATGCCTGACATAGCACAAAATAATATATGAGCAGACTTGATTCCAAGTATTTCAGTTCATTCATTTAATAACAGGTTAATGGAATACCTCGTCACTAGGTCCCCAGGAAAAACAACATCCATAAATTTGAATGTTAGTATCAAACCCATCCATAAGTCATGGAAACTAGTTGATAAAAACTCTTCCACACTTTTCAAGCACATCACCACCTTGGTTCTTCCATGTACAGTAATTATATAAACGACACAATAATGTACATACTATATGCAGGCCCCCTATGATGAAAATGAAAGTGAATTCAATAGGTTAATGTAATCAGCAGAGGACCGATAATCCTGAAATCAGATACAATGTACAGACTATCTGGGTTCCTCAGATTTAGTCCGCTTAACCCAGATCAGCCTTACGCGTAGAGCTCTTTAGGATACCCAAGTCTAAAATATCAATCCCTGTACATGGATAGAAAAATGTATGATCTGCCAGTGTAAAAAAGGATGTTCACTAGAGCTACATGTATATTTGGAGTTCCATCACTTTAAGTAAAATTAAATTGTTGTATTTGATATTAGGGACCAACACATTCAAGAGTATTCTACTGTTTTCCTATTGGCTTCCTCCACAATAATATAATAAATGTAATTTTTTTTAATATCTTGTTGTAATTTGTTTCCTCATCTTAAATCATTGATGCCATTTACAACACTTTGTGGCACAACAAAAACATGTTTACTCCTAGGTAATTATATTCATCAACTATTGTTTTTCAGAGATCAATAAAATTGCACAGAGCTATTAAAAATTTGCTGGAAAAGCATATTACTATGGAAACAACATGTACGCTACGGAAAAGAGTGCCTGCACTCTGTTTGACTTTTGTAATGTTTTGTTCCATCTGAAAGGATATCACTTGCAGCCAAATTTTATCTCTGCACTTAATAGATTTTTAGGATAATTAAAAGTGGTTCTAAAAGCATTTACTGTATTCATCTATTGCACTGATATGAAAGCTAATAAAAGTAACAACATTTTTAAAACAATATAATTATCCTTGATCACATGTAACGTACATGAAGATGAGTATCTTCCAGTTGCATTGAATTTAAAACAAAATCAAACATGAATTGAAATACAGTGAGACAACAAAAATGTGGTGATTGTGGGCAGGTGGTCTTTAAACTGTACATGGTCAACAGGTAATAAATAAATTGTGTATAAATAGATTTCACATGAAACACATTGTGTGGTCTTTGTAGGCAGGTGTCTTTCTATACAGGTGGTTGCTAAATTGTCCTTAATTGTAGAAGAACATACGTACATGTACATGTAAGTAAGCTATTTGTATTAAAGTGATTTCCTAGCTTGAGATACTGTATGGAGGGAAAAAAATCAATTGGATCAGTGATCCTGCGATTGAATTGAAGAACATGTAATATATTATATTTCAATTAGCAACTGATGGTAACACGTGTGAATGAAAATAAACAAGTAGCACAGCTGGAGCACAATAGCGCCATGTGTTAAATTGCCGGCCAGAGAAAAATCAATTTCTGAGCTTCCAATGCAAATATAGCCAGAGCGAAACAAACAATTCTTTCCAATTTCCTCGTCTTTTTAATCAAGGGCATAGAGTGGTGAAGTGGGACGTCATCAAAAACCTATTGTATGTTTAATTTGTATTTCATTCATTTTCCATAGCCATTAACCCATAGAATGACAGATGAATCAGGGATGATCTTTTATATTCTAGCTGTACATTTTTCCCCCTCTCGTGAAAGGTACCTTCACAGGTAGAATGAACAAGTCATATAACTGACAACTTCTCATTGTCCAGGCTCCCATGTGTATGCATACTGTATAAACAAAAGAGAAACTCCCAACCCCAAAAAAAACAAAACACGGTCACAGTCCACCAATGGACAAGAAGGAGTTCCATTCAAAAACAAAACTAACCACAAAACCTGTCTTCATTAGAAGTTGCAAAATAACCAGCTATTTTTTTTTTTTTTTTTAGCCCGATCTCAAATTAACCAGCTAATTTGCTTCCTAATCAGCCCGCAGATGCAATTAGCGGAGCTACTTGGTTGAGAAAATATCCCAAGAAATATTGGACTTGTTTCCAAAATAGCCCGCTATTTGGGAAATTGCGGGCTATAGTTGCTTTATACATGTAGGCTCAAGGGGATGCAACATCCCTGAGAGCACATAAAACAACTATTCCTTGAATATTAAAGCAGTCATTATATCTTTTATATACTGTAAAAAAAAAGGTCATAGAATACATGTGCGATGTACTAATCATGGTAATCAAGTTTGTTTACGCTATCGAGGTCTGTGTTGACAACTTGCAGGTAGAACTAGTCTTAGGGTGTCTGATCGTGCACTAGATTTTGTGTGCAAAAATCCTTCCCATTGAGATTGCACGCATATATCCCTATGCAGTCTACCGGTATGTGTATTGCGCGATCATGCAAAATCATGGTAAATGTATTTATTTCCAAATCGAGATTCAAACCTCTATTGCTTGTGATCCTGAAGGTGATACTCAAAAAAATGAGGTGTCATATGAAAGAGCAGGTTTATCTCCATATAGCGTAATCTCGTCATTACATCATTACAATCGAGATTGGCGGTCGTCTGCGCTTTGTTTGTAGTGACCAAATTTATCGCACAAAAATTGTATGGTAGCCGCGCTCCGCACAACTAAGTTTTATCACAACTTTTTTCCTGGTACCCAGAATCTTGCGGGAATATCACTCATGAACTATTGACCATTACTGGCATTGTTCGTCTCTTTAAAGCTTATCAGTACTAGTTTATAGGATGGATTAGACTGCCCTGCAAGGTCACTGGACAGGTGGCTATCTCATCAACTCAGCTCTCAGTTAACATAAGAAAAAGAGCATCATGGGGGACCAATGGTCATCGATTAGGCATTGTTTAATATAGAGAGGGCGCAAGTAGCTACAAGTAGTGCAGTGAGCCTTTAAGGGAATGGCTAAAATCACGACTGCAAATTCGACCAATCAGATGGCTAGATTTCTAAAGAGAGGTACATAATTTTAACAATGCCCCCCATATTAGGAGTTGATGATTGTATCGTATTCGTCATGCCTACCTTGATCGCTGGCATCGTCAACCAGGATGATCTCCGCTAGGAGGTCGTGAGGTGATCGGTTGATGATACTATGAACGTTCCGCAGGAGGGTGCTCCTCGCTTCGTTGTGGTACACCAAAATAACACTGGTGGTTGGAAGTTTCTTGGGATAAACTTTGTTGGCACAACTGCAACAACACAAGAAACAAAGAAATACATGTAAAAAAAACATATTTTGGGAGATTTTTAGATGCAAACATGTACAGAAAACAGTTGTATTTAGTGGTTGCACATACGTGTACAATGTACTGTATGTGCCAGGAAGATTATTAAAATAAGCTTTCATCGATGATGACAGAAACCAGATTCTCAGAATCAAGAAAAACTTGTATCCCCGTGTTAAAAACTACATACAATGTAGAAATTGTATCTGCTTTTTAACTATTGTGGCAGAAAATGTTTAAAGAAAATTCCAAGGGAATACTGCTCAACAATCAACAGAGAGTCTCATACAATTTGTTTTCCAATATTTGTTGTACACAAGACTATGGTGATTTTCTATTAACTTCTTTGCTGGTCTAAACATCTATGTACTGTACTGAAGGAAAAACATCCAGAGTTGATTTAAGCTATTTTCTCTTTAAAGGTAAAGACCAGTTATGGTCATGCGATTGCATTGTGAAAGAAACGTTGTGGAATCGATCAGAAAAGGTTGATCATCTAGCATCTAGCATCTGCAAGGTTCTGGAATCATCAAAATGATAAGAAATTTGACCCATTCTTCGTAACGTTACAAGCACTATACACAGAAAGATGTATATGGGACTACCCTATATCTCTCACAGTCCATGAGAGAAACAAATTTACCAAATATATAAATTAGTAGGCGGTTTCCCGGCAAATTTTTTATCATCATGTATTAGTCAAAACATATTCTTTCACATGATTGGTAATGAGAGCTTCCATTTCATTTTTGAAATTGGGGCGTTTCCAATACTGGTCTTTGCCTTTAAGTGCATTTCTATACCAGAATTCAACATCGGATATAAATTCTGAAACACCTCATCTTAAATTTTGTTAATTTGGTTAGTATGTAAACTGCACCACACGGGATAGTCACAGAAGAAATTGCCAGAATGCATACAATCCATGTACATGTAACATCAAATTTGCAAGTGATCAGTAAAAAGATCTAGAAAATTATGCTGTGGCATCTCTCGAGCCAATTTGTTGCTATGAGGCCCTAAAGAGCGAGGAACGAAGGTGCATAATATGTGGTCGTTTGGGAGAGTTCATGTATCTGGGTCGAGTAATTTGTCAGCCGCCCGACCCAGCGTCTTACCAATGATAACGATGGACTCGCAAATTGGGGCTGAAATGAATGTGCATCATGGCGCACACCTAACGACCTGGGATCAAGAGAGGTTCACATACATGTATGGCTGTAGGTTTCACAAACATTTGCAGTAGAGAGGGTTGCTCTGAAAGGGTATCATTAAGCTAACAGGCACAAACCCAAATTGTCAGTTGTCCTGTATAAACACTGTCTGCGCTGCGAGACTATGCAGAGGGAATAGCGCATCTTTAGGCTCTGTACTTCAGCTGCTCTACTAGACACGGCCAGAGATTGACAGAGCTAGGCTCTGCTAAAGGCTTTTAGGAATTGTGGTAGTGTTAAATTAGAGTCTGTACTAGCAGACTAGTCAACATCTATCATTCAACCTCCCCCCCCCCCCCCCAAAAAAAAGTGTTGAATGAGAAATTGAATATTCACCATAGCCCAATTCCATTTTAACAAAATTTGGCAGTCTGAGATCTTCTACCAGGGTTTCTATCTTGATTAATTTTGTCGGAATTACTTTGTAATTCAACACTTTTCCTTTAGGCAATGGCTGTCCCCTATTTGTGTCTAGTATCGAGCAGTGTGTCTATTCAATAAAGCACTCGTCATTGAAGGCACAGGCAACAAACATGACGCAAATATTGTAATTTAATGGCCTGCGGATATTGATATGATCCAGAAAGGTTAAAGATAAGAAATGTCTTTTCTCTGAAATTCATTTAGTTTCATCCAAACTTGTGTCCTTGTACATCTTTCTACTATCATACAAATACATGTACATACATGTATGGTTTCAATATACTACCTAAACAAGCGACAAAACCCTGATGCAAATTTTGTAATTAAGCTGTCTCTTGGCATTGTTGTGATGCAGGGTGCTTATAAATAGATATGATATGTCCGCAAGGAAGAATTTAGCCTAATCACTCTACCCACCTGCCAGAGCAATCTCTCTGTCATCATTCAAAAATCGCTTCAAACACCCTTTCAGATATTAAAGCAAAATGTAAATACTGTACATTTACATGTACAGTATTTACAGAAATACATGATTATTGTCTTGTCTGAAATTCCTTAACCAACAAAAATTCATACCACGAAACGGCTTGACCATTATTTTGAACGAATTTTGTATAAAGAATCTGGTTTTGTTATCTGTATAAACATCTTCTAGTGTTAAAGACCCTAGAACAAACTTACAATGGACTCTGGGCCTAACATCGGGTAATGATCTGTTGAGTACTATTCTATCACTGGCCATTAAATTGAATTCATGGATATGCTATAACTGACCATCTCCCAAAAGAATTTGTCTGTGTATGACGTTCCGTTATATTCGTACCTTGCGAACAACCCTCTCTCGTAAATGTATGATTTTTGCATTAAAAAAAATAAAAAATTGAAGGCTGTCTGTACTAGTTTGGCTAGGAGGGATTAGACCACCCAGGGTGGTCACTGACAGGTGGCTATCTCATCAATTCAGCTCTCAATTAGCATAAGAAAAAGAGGATCATGGGGGACCAATGGTCACCGATTAGGCATTGTTTTCTATATAGAGGGAGCAAGTAGCTACAAGTAGTACAGTGGGCCTTTAAGTTTTCCTCTGGTGTGGATGACTTTCTTACCCTCTGGGCCTAACATCAGGCAATGATCTGTTGAGTGCTATCCTATCGCTGGCCATCAAGTTGAATTCATTGATGGGCCATAACCGCTCCGACTCCGCTTTCCCTCCGGTTCTATAATAACGGGTTTGCCCATCTCGCCGGGGCCATCTAAATTTACAGGCTTTGGTATCTCTGAAAGAAGAAAATGGGAGAAAATAAGTTAATATTAAATCATATTCTAAAATCTCATTTCAAGAATTATGAAATATCATATCAGTCGGAGTCCATAAGGATAATATCCTTCACCAATAAAAATGGAACAAGATTTGTAATAACAATTAAAACTAAATATTATAACGGATAATAAGAAATGCAACTGACAGTGGCAATGATTTTATAATCAATGATTTAATCCCATTTCTCCTCCCAGGAATAGTTATTCAATATTAAGAAGTTTTTGTTTAAAAATCTACAAATGGAAATTACCAGACTACCGGTACAGTGTGTCTGCAATTTTCAATATTACAGTGGTATTGTGAGTCCTCATAATCCAGTAATAGGGACTTTTAGATTTACACGACGAGAACGTGGACCGCCACGTGTGACATCCTTTTAAGGTAATGTGACGTCCTTTTAAGGCACTGCCGGGCACGGCCCAGTCCACACACTCGTCGTGTACATGTAAATCTGAAAGTCCCTATTACCTGTAAATAAAGACCACTCAAAGGAGACCAAAAAATGCTGTCTTTACATGTACACTGTATACATGTAGGCAGCTGGTCTTTATGTACAGGTTCATTTTGATAATACACATTTCAATGCAACTCTCTATCCAAGGGAAACAGAAAATGTGGGCTTTACAGACAGGTGTTATGTCATTACAGGTGGGCTGTCTATCTACATGTAGGTAGTCAATAAAAGCAGGTTCGATTGTACTACAAAATTGTGCGGGAGTTCCAGTGCTAGTGCCGTTTTAATAAGAACATTCCTTCAAGTTCAAATTTGTACAAATCTCATTTGAACAATGCTGAACCTCAAAATAATGCTTGATCACTATTAATTATTTACTCAATAAAACCTCCCATTTAAATTAAGAGCTTCCATGTCCTGTGCTCGCATCACAGAAAATGTATGTCTTTGGTAATAGCACAGCTGTGGTCTTGATGGAGACTTGATGTAGCTAAACCCTTCATGAATGCTTAATCCATTACCATGGTAACCGGTCTGTGTACTTGCGTAAATTGCCATCCTGTATCTCTTCTCCCACAAGCCATCGAGCTCTGGAGTCTATACATTGATTTTTTTTTGATAGCTCGGCAATACAAAGAAGCTTTTAAATAATGCATGAACACAAGCGTACATGTACATGTACAACCAACCGAACACAATTTTAGTTTAGTTAGGGTACGAAATGCATGAAGAGGCAGGAGGAAAAATACATGGGGGCTCGGGGCGAATTTGCCCCCGAAATGAAGATGTGTACAATTAGATGTATAAAAGCAAAAACAAGTTTATACAGGGCACCAATTAATCCCAAAATAGCACTGTTAGAAAACAGAAGTGTATAAATAATGCCTGCGGATGCTTACAGTCAAGTGAGAACATATTGTTTTTAGTTTTTACAGAAGACCAATTATCAAATTATCATATAATTGTAGGAAAATATAAAGAATTCATGACGATGCGTATAATTTAAAGGCAAGAATATTTTGACTTGAGGGTAGCAATCTAAAAACAGTATTATTGTCAGAAAATAGAAGAATGAAGATTCACCCAATGTACCTTGAAACAACTCTACAAGGACAATTTTCAGTTGAAAGCGGAATGATATTAACCAAAACACTCAAGCTGATATTCTAAATTTAGTATAGCAGCATACATGTACAATGTACATGTACATGTAGGCTGCGACGGGTAGTCGAATGCTCGAGTACCCGCACGGTTGACAACTACTCGGGTACGATTTCTTGTACCCGAATATTCGGCCGCAAAAAAAAAAAAAATTTAAAAAAAAAAAAAAAAAAAAAAAAAAAAAATGTCCAGGCCCACGCTTACCCGTGCCAGGGAGAGCAGCATCCGCTGGCATGGTACCGTCGGTAAAAATGTTTCCAAACTCAAGCACTGTCAAACTCACCTTTCAGAAACTGGGACCAAATGTCCAGATTTCTGTTTGGACTTGGAGGAAAATGGATTATTCTGCCATCTTTGGTTTTTAAAACAGCATTGTTTACTGTTATTATTCTTATTAAATCGGCGCCTTCAACTGCAACTCAAAGTAAAGTTGCATGCGTTTTCAGCGAGCTGTGCGAGGGACCTGGGAAACTGCCGAGTGGTATGGTAGTGGCAAAAAAGAAAAAAAAGGAAAAAAATCCAAAAATCCAAAAATTAAAAAAAAAAAAAAAAAAAAATCAAAAAAAAATAAAAAAAATTATAAAAAAACATGGCGTCCGAATACTCGAGTATTCGCCTGTGAGCCTGGGAGTGTACTCGGGTACCTCATTACACTGTTGTGCACAGCCCCTAAAAAAACTTTTTTTTTCCTTCCATAATTGATTCTCTTCAATTCATCTGCTTTGAAGTACATGTAGCATACAGAATCTTAAAGCTTTCCTCTTTTTTCTTCCAAATTAAAGATAAGATCACTTTAAGGTCATGCGATTGCATTGTGAAAAAAACGTTGTGCAATCTATCAGAAAAGTTTGATCATCTACAGTATAGTATTGGTGTGTACTGCAAGGTTCTGGAATCATCAAAATGATAAGAAATTTGGCCCAGTCCTGGTAAAGTTACAAAGTTACTGTCACAACACATCCCATCCCAGTATAGCTTGGAAAAGCTGCTTCAGGGATTACCTCATCAAGTATCAAGTAACAAGCACTGTACACAGAAAGATGTATATGGGACTACGGGATACGTGCCCGATATCCATCAGGTCCAAATAGATATAATAATTTACCAATTATATCAATTAGTAGGCGGTTTCTCAGCAAAATTTGTATCATCACATACTAGTCAAAACATATTCTCTCACATGATTGGTAATAAGAGCTTCCATTTCATTTTTTAGAGGGGGGGCGTTTCCAAAACTGATCTTTTACCTTTAACATTGCCCTGGCCTTTAAAATCAATTGATCATTCTTTTCATTTCTATTGCATATTCAAAAGTGAAATCAAATTTAATTTCACATTTACATGTACAGGTACGTTTATATCACTTTGGGACAAATAACAATTCATATTTAAACATTGAAATAAAATTGATGATACCTTCTGCTTTTGACATGAAAATTAAACAAGTGTATTGCCAGTTAAAAATAAATTTGTGATGTATTCTAGAATGCTTTTATCTACTAAGAAAATAAATCTTTCACCTTTATAATTCCACCATGGGGTCAGCCATATGGGGGACAGGCAGCCATGGGTTCTTGCTGAAACGCTGTGCCAAATATTGATTTTATTGATTTCTTTGGGTAAATAAACTTTACTGGACCGAGGCGGTTTTTCCCCTCCTTCTCCAGTATCTCGATAATGCGCTTTAATACCAAAGAAGGGTTGAACAACAGAGATTGCTCAATCGCCAAGGGCAACTACAAATAATAATTCTTCAGGGTAAGAAAACGAATCTGGAGTAAGTTGAGCACCGGTAGCAGATTTTCATCCTAAATGAATGTCATGAACAGATCCCATGCAAGTAAAAGGGGATTTCCCTTTCTAATTTATTTTCACAATGAAATGAAAGGAGTGAAGAAAAAAAATCTTGAAAAATGAGGGCGGGGTGAGGCATCTGACTTTTAGGGGCTCTTTTGGGCATTTCGGGACACATTCGCCCGAGCCCCAGTGTATTTTTTCCCCTGGCTCAAGGCTTCAGAATTCAGTGTCTAATTAATTAGAGTCTGTTTCTGCAGAGTGCATACTACCCTTGTGACCTACATTCCAGCATTTTTTTTAAATTTCCGCTACACTATTATATACACAGCTGTTACCATCACCTAAATATCTGCCCTAATTAATATTTCTTCAACTCTTACTGTTGATAATACTATCAAAGTACATACTGTACACAGCTGTATGGTTTTATGACCTGTGAAACCATCTTTAACACATTATGGACATGCTGTATCTCTAACCACCTTATCTGTTATTACAGAACTGGTAAGAGTTAACAAAATATAAATAAATAAAATAATTCACAAGAGCCTTTTGCTTTGGGGGAGGAGATTTATTTTCATTGTCATTGGTAATTAATAATCTTCTTCTTGTCATAGGTATTGTGACTGATGATTAGTTTTTACCTAACTACTATTTAGAACAAATTTGCTTGTAAGTAAGCCACCAGGGAACGGACGGTTTAGTTCAAGTTCTGTCCAAGGGACTTGGTATTTGGTAATGATGATTATGAATACATTACCAAAGGGTACTACTAGACATGTACATGTACATATACATCTAGCATTCATATCGACGTGGTTATGAACCAGGAATCTCTCAGTCACGAGACCACAGCTCTCTACCACTGAGCCATCGTACCACCAGAGCACTTTGTTAATCTTTTAGGCCTACTGTATTTCAAAGCTTTTCAGAGTAAAGTCACCCACAGCTCCTGAATATACAGTACATGGCTGATTACAATGCTTCATTGCTCCGCTTCTATTTCTACACTCACTGACCTTCACTTTGTAAATCAAATCAAGTCAATGAGGTGGTTGCCATGGTCTGCCAGTCCCACTGCAGGCGGGCCATAACTACTGAAGTCACAGCCTGCATTGATGTAAACCTACATGTACGGTACATTTTTATAACTCAATTTGTGTGGGTCTACATGTACGCTCGATCGCTCTCTAAAGGCTCATTCAGATATGATGCATTAAAATGGCAAATTAAAAAAAAAAGATGTGTAAATGGATAGCAATTGTGCTTGACACAAACGTACAAATGTACCTGTTGTATCAATATATTACATTCCATTTTTTTTTTCAAGAACAAATGAATCACAATCGACACAGCACTATTATGAATGTACTTTTAATACTTGCAATTCATGACAATTTTTTGCTGTTAAAATGACTGTTTACAGACAACTACATGTAGCAGAAGTTTACTGTCACAAAGGATTCTGGTTGTTAAGTGTTCCCCAAAAAAGAAAGCAAGTAGCATGGTTTCATGTGTACATGTACATTCTTTTATATCCATGCATGGCATGCTGTTGCTGTTCATTTTCATCTCTCTCTCTCTCTCTCTCCCGTTCTCTCTCTCTCTCTGCTGGAGCACATGTAACAAAGAACTTCCTGTTGTACGAAAATGTGACTGATTACCAAGAATTCACGACTTCTAAAATCCTATCCACTAGCCTTGTGTATGCATTTTTATGAAATGTAGTATTGTTTGTGACTACCCGGTTGCAATTTTTATGATTATGAAAAAACACAATAGAACTTGAGCTGATTCACGTCTTACTCCATTATGTGCTAAGATGTATACATGTATATCTTCGGTTTATAATACACATGAACATTATTTAATTATTTGATATTTGTACCCATGTACATGTACATGTACATTATACATGTACAGGATATGTACTGGTACCAGGCATACATGTATATGTAAATGTTCATTTCTTATTTTGCCCTACCTGTAAACGTATCTCTCCTTTCTTAAAGCGCATGCATGTAGAAACTTTCTTTAGGTTAGTGATATGCACTATTTATAGAGCTTTCATTTATTTCTCAAGTACTAGAAAATAGCCTTTAATTTATGTTCTGACAAGAAATTGGTGAAATGGGTTCCATGTTACTATATACTATGAGCTTCAAATATTCTTATTAAAGCTTATTAAAGTCAGACCTGCTTTAGTGACCACCTGCCTACAAAGGCCACATTTTTTGTTTCCCTTGAAAATGGTTTCTCAATGAAACTTGTACTATAGAAACCCGTCTACAAAGACCACTTTAGTGTTTCCCTTGGGCGGTCGCTACAGACAGGTTCGACTGTTCACAAAGATATTGCAATTTAATACACTCCCAGTAAATTGTAAAAAGCCTTGTGTAGACTACTCGACACATGCGTACACACTTGTATAGAATAGGGCGCACACAGAACCAAAGTCCGACTGGGTTCTGTGCAAGCCCTGTACGCAGGGTTACAAATGTTATCCTATATTTTCTTCAAACTTTTTATCCGTTTACCTACAAAATACAAGTTAAAAGTTTTTTTTAGATTGATTAATTACTTTCTACCTATACACAAATTATATCTTCAAGCGATTGGTACACTTTAACCTGAATATTCAGCTCAATCGGATGCATGCTTTCAGGTATATGTAGGGCCCTTCTGCAACTGGACCAGCATTATCTTACCCATTTGTTTCCTCTCCTCTGGTAATTCATTCATCCACTTATTAGCTCTGTCAATAATCCTCTTGATGGGACCCGATCCATCCTCGTTGGTGGGCTGCTGACATTTAGGTCCGACGCAGGGCGCAGTGTAGTACATTAATAAGACAAAGTCCACAAAGATCCAAAATAGCGATGTGGCTATGATAATTTTACATTGTCTTCTCCTAGGCAACATGTTTACAGGTAGTTCTTGTAAGCCTCTTCCGAATGGCTTATTTCTTTGGAATATGAAATCACCAACGTTGTTGTTTCGCTCGTTGTCATGAACGGGTCATGTTCCACTTCTGTATTTGGATGATCCGGTCTACTCGTCAATTGGATCTGGATTAAAGAGAGCAATCAACAGCAATAAATATTTAATCATCCAGGTATTTAGACAAGAATAACAATGCAAATACACACAGTGTACTTCGAGCTTCCTTTTTAATACAACACTGGGAAAGGCAAAGACATTACATATTCAGTAGCAAATCTTACTCTGTATTAGGGCTGTACCCGTACTGTTGACAACTACTCGAGTACGATTTCTCGTACTTGAATATTCGGCAAAAGTGCCAGGGAGAGCGGCGGCCGCTGGCATGGTACCGTCGGTAAAAATGTTTCCCAACTCATGCACTATCAAACTCACCACTCAGAAACTGGGACCAAATGTCCGGATTTCTGTTTGGACTCGGGAGGAAAATAGATTATTCTGCCATCTTTGTTTTTAAAACAGCATTGTTTTATTGTTATTATTATTATTAAATCGCACCTTCAACTGCAACTCGAAGTAAAATTGCATGCGTTTTCGGCGACGGACCTGGCATAATGTTCCAGTGGTATGGTGGTGGCAAAAAAAAAATCAGAAATCAATTTTAAAAAAAATCAAAAAAAAAAATCAAAAAAATCAACAAAAAAATCAAAAAAAATTATTAAAAAACATGGCATCCGAATACTTGAGTATTCGCTTGTAAGCCTGGGAGAGTACTCGGGTATCTCATTACACTGTTGTGCACAGCCTTACTCTGTATGCACCAAACTGACCTCAAAAATCAACCTGACCTACATGTATCATACCCCACCACACATTAGCCTTCACAAATATGAATAGGAATCGTTTTGATTGCAATATGTGCAGGTACCAGTCTGCTTCGATTGGCACAAATGGAACCACAATAAATTATTCTCTTTATAATTAAAATCATACCTGCACAATAGGCTTTAATACATGTACCCTGTACCTGCACATAAGCAATACATTTACAGTTCTGTAAGACTATAAAAGTGTATTGTTCCTGTATGACTGCAAGCGGATTCAACTAAAGGCAGTGAGGGTAATCAAAATCATTCATGTGAGTGCTTCACTAAGAAGGAAATAAATAATGTTCTTGCCTACAGTGTAGTACATGTAGTTAGGCAAATGCAGCATTCATTCAATTCAAGCTCTCTTTAAAGTTTCCATGTGTATGATGTCACAGTTCACTATTAACAAGTATAACAATGGAATTAATGGGATGACTCATTAAATATGTGTGTACAAATGTTGCACGCTGCGAAACTGGACCAGTCCACTTGGAAAGGTCTTTGAACATGCATGAAATAGAAAAGCATTTAGTCACGGTTTAGGCAAGGCTCCAAGACAACATTTTTAGAAGCGGGTCCAGATTTGTCTTTTTACAGCATGAGCCGTACGTAAAAACTTCAACATGTCCAGACTTAGATTTTGGGGGTCCAAACTTTGATTTTAGGCGCCCATATCACCCGGGCACCTAGTCTCAAGACCTGGTTTAGGTGTGGAATTTGTGATGTTGAATGTTCCCTATTTGGGCGTTTCTTATAAAGTTGGTAGAGGGTGTTTATAAGTTACGTCACTCTGAGACCCATTGACATATGTTACTGGGTAAAAGTTTGAACCGGTCTTAAATTCCCCTTGGGATATCTATTGTAGATTGTATACATGTCTTTATCAAAAAGATACACGCAATTCCGCATAGGTAATAAACTTATATCCTGTTACAGATTATGAATAGATGAATAAAATCATGGAAACATGTCCTCATCAGAATGTGCGGGTTAGACATGAGTAGCCTTGTGTATATTTGCTTACCATGTAAACAAAACTGTTAGTGCTAGTGCTCAACAAACTTCCTCGTCATAATAAACAAAAAAGTACGTATTGATAAACTATCACATTACGGTATCCTTCAACTAACTTTTGATTCGACTGTCAAAAAAAAAACACTCACCGGTTTTTCTTCAATTTAAGAATCTTTACAGAAATATGCAAATCGTTTAATGATGTAAATATGATAATGATACTATTTATTATTTATTTTAGGAGAATTTATATGTATATATTTCTTTTTGAACAATTTTAGCCCCAAAACTTGTTTTGGGTTATTCTTCATAAATCAAATGGATCGTGACAAAGACTATCTTCTTGAGCTGCTAGTATCGCGATATATCGATATCATGTCTGTCATGGCTTTGTGAAACGGTTTATCCACTTCATGACATCTCCGTAGGTCGGCGACAAAGATGTGACTGTCATGGAGTTGGTTTCGAGAAACGGCCCCCTGGTCATGATTTAACGATTAATTTTTTTGTTTGTTATACAATGGTTGTTATTTGTTGTCTCTTATAAAAAAAATCCAATGTAGCCTTGATCCTTTTATAAATGAATTAAAAGATGGATGGATGAATGAATGGATCAAGGAATGAATGAAGGAAAAAAGGGAGGAAGGAATGAATAAGTGAATGAATCTAAAGAATGAATGGAACAAATGAATAAAAGAATGAATAAATGGAATAAAAGAATGATTTAATGAAAGGAGTGAATGAAAGAATTGATGATTTTGTGCACTTTAATACATGTATGCAGTGTGAGACATTTGTTTGTACATGTTTGTACATACACTGTACATGTTTGTCGCTCATCAGAGATATACATGTACATGTACATGTACATGTACTGTACTGTGCACAGATGGTAACTGTCCCAGGCGGTAATTTCAGTCATTGATAAAAACCGAAAATAAAAACGCTAAACGTCATCCTCGCTAGGTGTTTGTGTACAAATAGTAGTTTACTGTGTAAGAAAATACCATTTTTATTTTCACAGCTGGGTCTTCTTTACACAACGTTTCTCTATAGGAGTTTCGTATAAATTTCCTGCAGTGTAAACAGGCTGTTCCACCACGCTCGACCCATCTCCACAATGAATGAGAGCCTTGAAAGGTGTTATTAAACCTGGATCAGAGTGCGATCGCCTCTAGTCCTACGTGTGAACATGTCTTCTCAATTAGTCAGATGACATCAAGAAATGAACTCATGCACATGAACCATTCACACTTGAGCCGAAGGTGCTAAAGTCAAGGGAGACAGAGCTCTATCTTTATCAGGGGTATTACAGAAAGAATCATAGTACATGTATACATCTGTGCAGGTGCCGTGGTTTAGTGGTTCATCTATTTTGACTAAATCCGAGAGTTAGGAGTTCAAATCCCACCCCGATCCTCACATCCCTTGGCAGGACATTAATCCACATTTCCCACTCTTCACCCAGGTGTACATGTAAATGGGTACCTCACATATCAGGGGTAATAATAATTGCAGCATTGATGCTGAGTAGGCTTCCCTACTATGTTTACAGATGTATTTTACTTTGTATTCAGGCCTTATCAGTGCAGAGCATAGGCTTTCATGTACCTACAGTACATGTTTAAATTTAATAAGAACAAACCATACAGTGGACTGTAAATTAATTCTGCCATCCACACTCAGCAACATTTTTTCCTTTCCATTTTGTAAGAGGGTAGTCAGGGTGCCATACATTATCAATGGCATCATCTTAAATTCATTGACCTTTAATTAGCATGTGTTGTACATTAGGAGTTGCGAGGTATTACTTGTATGTTATGAGTAATAGGATCTAGGTCAATGTCAAAAGAGAGAGACATGGCTTATTTCCAAAACAAGATACATGAACACTGTACTAGCACAAAACACCACCAAACCCTACATGTACATGTACTGTATCACTCAAGTACTGCAGTGGGGGAGCATGGCATTCTGTCTCCTAACTCTTACACACCTCAGTACCAGTAAATGTTGCGATCGAAGATTAAAGGGCAAGTCCACTCCAAAAATAACTTACTTCCAATAGAAGCAGAAAAATCAGACAAACCAATCAAAAAAAGTTTGTGCAAAATCGGATAACTAATTATAAGAAAGTTAAGAATTTTTGAAAAAGTATGTAAAACTATGGAACAATGAGAATCAGTACACAAATTGCCAATTTGGTTATCAGTTTGTGACGTCATGTCCTCACAACTTATCTATTGCTTTACATGTACAGGTATATAGTTTAATCCCATTAATTTCCCTTTTTATCCCCCAAAACTTGATTTCCGCATGCCTTTGCCCAGGTTATATGATTTGTATCATATTGCGTGCATGACATTTCCCAAAAACTTTTATGAGTTTTGAAGAATTGATACTATTTCTGAATATTGTATTTTATAATTATTGATTTTTATATAAATAGTTTATCAAAATTCAATTTTTCATGATTTAACTGGACAAAAAATACTCTTCATTTGTGCATCCACACAAAAACATACTATTAACAATCTAACTTGGATGCTGGTGTGAAAAAATAAGATTCTTAGGGTGAAAATAGGGAATCTATATTATCAATTTAAAGAGAATGTTGAGTTCTGGGAAGAGGTGAAAAATAATTTGTGAGCGTTACTCATTCTTATTATGCAAGTGTGGAAGAACATCAGATAAGACAAGTTCCCTGAAAAGCATGGCTCTTCAAATGCCTTCATATTCTAAATATACATGTAACATCGTAAAAATCGGGGGGCCGGCTTTTTACGCCACGTGTTCGTGTAGTCCCATATACATTTTTCTGTGTATAGTGTGTGTAACTTTACCAAGACTTGGCCAAATTTCTTATCATTTTGATGATTCCAGAACGTTGCAATACACACAAATTCTTATATGCTAGATGATCAACCTTTTCTTGTCGGTTCCACACTGTTTCTTTCACAATGCAATCGCATGACCAGAACTCAACTTCATCTTTAAAGAAAATAATTAGTGAGGACCATACGTCACAGACTCATGAGTGAGTTGCCAATTTGTGTAGAGATTTTCAAAGTTTTTCATGTCATTAAAAATTCATAACTTTCTGGTTCTATTGAAAGTAAGTTATTTTTGGAGTGGACTTGGGCTTTAAAGGAGCAATTATATAGAGCACAAAGGAGCACCAATCATAACCACTAACCCCCCCCCCCCCCAATGCCAAAACAACGTATTCAGAAATAGTTGCAGGTGGCACTTTCAACGCCAACAAAACACTGCACAATCAAACTGCGATCCAAATTTAGGAAGAAAAAAAATCTTACATGGTCATTCACAGATATCATAATCAATATTCTAGTTTATTGTAAGCCTTCTACATGTATTCTAGTTTATTGTATGACTTCTAGTCGGAAGAAGGTTTGATTTGGCTCCGAGTCATTGCGATGACGGAGCAGTCCTGCAATTGTCTACCATTTGAAGCTGATTTGGCAATCATTCCAATTGGTAGGCTTACATGTACATGTACCAGAATTGCCAATTTGTGTATAGTTTATCGGAGAAGATATTAAAAGTACATGTATCCCAATCACTAAAACATTTTTTGCTGTTAATGTAGAGGGTTCCATGTTGTTACACTGTACCGTATTTGACGGTGATAAGGCCACAGCGCCGCATAGACCGCTACCCCAACTTTGACATTTCATAGAGGGAAGAAAAAAAAAAAAAAAAAAACCAAAAAAAAAAAAAGAACACTATTTTTTCTACAAACTGATACCAAATTCATCAATTTTCTTATAAATTTACAAGAAGTTTACCTAAAAGATCTAGATCTACATGTAACATAAGTTATGCTGTTTATTTTCGTCTTCATGTCAACAATGCAAGATAAAAAATTGGTCTGTAAGTTGTGTAGAGTTATTCTATAATTGTCCTGTAGGTGGATGGACGTGCTGTTTTGACCGCTGAATTTTGTTGTTGTTGCGCAAAGGCCGCACCCGACCTTTTGATATTTTTTCTTCCAAAAACACTGCGGCCTTATCGCCGGCAAATACGGTATTTACTTTTAATGTCATGAACATGTCATGATGAATGTGTGAATCCTTGTGGATGTGTGGTTTAAATACCCTCAAACTTAATCATTCCTCCTTGGTTATGGGTACTTTCATGCTAGTCAGAACAGGTAAATAAGGATTCACTTCCATTTTTAATTTCGTATTGTCATGTCTCTTCATGAACATGAACATGCTGCAAGATTCGTCTTGAACCGTCATGAATGCCGGAGCAGCGTCTCTGAGCTGAGATGATCTCCTATCTGTAATTGGCAACCATTACCATTGGAGTACAGAAGAGCAGCCCAGAGGTTGACTTTCCTCTACAAATCCATCCACAACTTTAATAATTGCTGTTGATACCGACCACTACCAAAACAAATCATCTGGAGTAGGGGTATCTCTGTAGTGATTCAGCCCGAGCCAGTATGGCTCTGGCGTATATAAACGCATATGCGCGCGAGTCCCGCATTTTGCGACACTCGCGGATTGTTCCGTGGCCATATACCCAATACTGGGTATGGCAGATTTGACCAGGAACAGCAAGCTAGCTACAACACGCCTAGTGCTATGTTCCCCTGAATCTCAAATCAACGCTTCAAGTTGAGCTCCACCGTCGGTGACTACAAGTCTTCGAGATATACAGTTCTACAAGCTTATGGTAGGATTTACCCTTACTTGAGCTTAGTTAATGTCTAATCCCTAAGTACTAAGTAGTACGCTCTTCATTTATCATTCAAGAAGTTATCTGCTGTAAAGGACTGTTTTAAACAATCCCTATATCCTGGGACATTCCCAGAATGGAACTTTCTCTTGACCCATGTTAGTACTGCCCCCACCCTTGGAGCCTTTAAGGATAACTTTCAAAAGCTCAACATGGGCGAAATAATTGCTAGAGCCCACTTTAGAAATTAATTATATTCGGCATATATTACATCCCAGCTGAGGAGATTATGCAATATAGCCCACCAGAAGGAGAGGAGGTGAGTTGGCTTAGTCGGTAAAGTGTCTGCCTGTCGAACCAAAGATCCCAGGTTCAAATCCCACCCAGGCGGATAACTGAAACCTGCGTTGTGTGTTCATAGACGCAGGCTATGTTAAGTGGAAAACACTCCGTCCCTCGAATAGGACGTTAAATGGAGGCCCGTGTAGAGAAGAGTCACTACCTTTGCCTGTTAAGAACCCACTGCATTATTAAAAAGACTAAGAGAAGGGGGGGGGGGAACCCCGGTGTAGTGGTCCATCTGCACAAACCCCAGTATAGTATGATAAAACTCTGTAAAGAGGTACAATGTACACGTATTAGACCGAATTTTCCGTGTCTTTCTTTCATTAAGTCTCTTATTTGGGTAGGGTCGGCTCTCTCTTTAGAGACTGAAGCCGACTATACGCATTCCCTTGCTAACACCATGGCCATAAATGGCCATATTTTTATGCCCCCATGGCCATAAATGGCCATATTTTTATGCCCCGAAAATCCCCCCAAATGTCATTTTACCTCCTGCATATCCAATTTAAATCTCATCCCTTCTAGTCTACGCCGAAGGCAAAATGATTATGAAGGAAAAACTGTGCACGAGCTACACGTTCGTAATGGCGTTATCACAGTTTTTCTTCATAATCATTTTGCCTTCGGCGTAGACTAGAAGGGATGAGATTTAGATGACGTCATGCGCAGGGAGAGTTAAAGATTTTCAACGTGGATGTCGATTTTGACCCATAATTTCCTAAAAAGGGACCATTAAACGGATTATTTCAGTCAAGTTGGTAAGTGGAACCGATGTATTATAGCCTAGACCTAGAGTAGAGTCTCCGGTTTGCGGCATCGCCCGGTTTGCGGCCAGGGGTATTTGTTTTAAAAATAAAATGAATATGACTCGATAATAATCATTGAAACCTACCGCGGATTCCACGGTAAGTTCTGCTTTGCCGAAAACGTCCGTAGCAGGTGCTCCTGTCGGTACGGAGTATCCGTCAGCGATGTCGGAAATCTACAGCACCAGTCGCCGATGAAAATTCTAGCAGGTGCTAACTTTTAAGTTAAGAGATCGAGGCATGACTAGATCAATATTGTAGCTCTATTTGTCCGATATTTGTCCGATTGGAGGTGAAATTTGATGTTTTTGTGGAAGTATGATGGCTGTGGTCTGTCTCCTATCGCAGATATTTTGATTGTGCCACCGCATGGCCAGTTGCATGGGGTGGCCGCAAACCGGCACGTAATTACGTGTTTTTTCTGGTTTGCGGCGGGGGGTGTTAATACACACATAACATGCGGGATCGTGTATGATGGTATGTGTGCTGATGTGTGTACCCGCTATGACCCGATAGTTTCTAGTAGTACTTTCCCCCGGATGGGATGATCCATTCGAGGAAAAGGTGAAATTGTTTAAAACTTGACAAATTTACCATAGCAACAGATAAACATGAGAATTTGGGTTACCCGTAGTAATTTGGTATATGCTTTCATCGTGATGTAGCGCATAAAGCTTTGTGACGTACGCGTGCCGCAAACCGGGGAACTCAAAGCATTTCGAAACGTGGTCAATGCTGACCACGCTGTGGGTCAGTTAGGTTATTTGTGACTTCTATTTAATAAGTAAGTATATGGACTCTTTATTGAGGGTATTGAAGTATTCTGTGAGTATTCCAATAAAAATAGAATCGGCAGTTCCCGCCGATCGGCCGCAGACCGGAGCCACTACTCTAGGCCTAATTTAAAATGTAACATAAATTGGATATGCACGAGATAAAATTACATTTTGGGGGATTTTCAAGGCATAAAAATATGGCCATAAATGGCCATGGTGTTAGCAAGGGAATGCGTATACATAGTCTGCTTCTACCTCTAAAGAGAGAGCCGACCCTACCCAAATAAGAGGCTTAACGAACGAAAGAGACGGAAAATTCGGTCTAGTAGACATTGTCTTACAAAGGAGCCCGAAAAGACAGGTGAATACAGGTGAATAGTACATGTATGTACTCAAAATGGAAGAAGAAGAAGAAGAACCAGAAAATGACATTCTTTCGATTAGCCAGCGACTTGCCATGCATTGGCATCACTGGAGAATTAAAGATTAAAGAATAAACTAAATTAGCTAAACTAAACTGCCAAAAAGAAAGGTAAGAATTTAAGATATTCTGTATTACAGCGATATATTCATCACTTCTAATTATCAGCACATACACCTATCCAAGCTACTTGTATCATGAGCATGACATGTGGACAGCTTCAAATTCATGTTCCAACTACCACTAAAAGTTAGGCCTACTAGACTACTGCAACTACATGTAGCCCTAGCTAACGGGCGTCTCTGTCACAGGCCAAAAGTCTCGCCGTCATCATCGGGGTAGACAATATCCAATTTCCGGCTCACATTCTTCCTACAGCTTTATAAAACGAAGGCATTTGTGGCTCTATCACAAATATAAGAAACACACTAACACAACTAGAACCCTAATAAAATAGCCAACAATCACTTACCTAATTTCATCCACATGAATCAGAAGGTAAAGCAATGAGAGGAAGGTTACTTCTTACGCTAAATCACAACGAGAAGCCACGTAGTTTGTGTACACACCAAGAACGAGGAAATGTTGATTGAACAGCGCATGCGTATAATTACGTCTGAAGCTAGTAAGCCAATTTTTGTTCAGACTTCTTCCCTCATTTCTGTATCTACTAATACCACTAAATAAAGTTCAAACTCGAGTTCAATTCCAGATCCAGGATCCAGGAAAAGACATGACATGACGTATAGTCCGATTTGGACTAGATCTTATTTCAATTTCATATCTTTTGTTTCAATATCACTTCATTAACATCGTGATTAATTAACACAGGAGGTAACAGTACATAAACTTGTATAGATACGTTTAAAAAGGTATATAAAAGTAGAAAAGAGAAAAGGCCAAGGTCAACAAAGCAGGGTTAATAGGCATGTAGGCCTACTTCATATTTTTCATAATGGAATACGTCATACAAAATATACAAGAAAGAATAATGTACATAGCACGACATGGGCATCGCCAAGGAGCACTATTTCCCGCCCCCCCCCCCCCCCCATATACATTGAACATGTCGTATGTTTGGGGTTACAAGGGCGTTAACAAGTGACGTAATGAGCAAGAATGTTTTTTTTTTTTTTTTGGGGGGGGGCATTAACAAAAATCCGTATCACCACCACGTAGATGCAGGCACCGCGAAACAAGTGGGGGGGGGGGGGGGGAGTTGGGCTAAAGAATTTACGATCAGGTAGGGTGAAGCAAGTAGAGCGTAATTGGCGTGGGGTCCAGGGGCAAAGCCCCATGAAGCTCAGGGGTTTTAGGCATTTAATTACGGTCAGATGATCATCCAGGGGCCTGCCTAAGGGCCCTGGTGGGGTCAAGGGGGCGGAGCCCCCGGAAGCTCAGGTAAAAATTATGCCATTTCAGCAACATTTGTAAATCACTGGTATCGAATTAGAAATAAACCATGTTTGAATTTTATTTTATTTGAGGTCAACTGCCCCCCCCCCCCCATCGGTACGGCCCCATCGGTACGCCAGTGTCGTTAACTCCATCAAATCAGTGACACTGGCTCCAAGCAGACGACGTCACATAAATGCGAAATGGATATTTAAAATTTATAAACAATATAATATGTGACTTAGATGAATTTTATCTGAACATCCATACAAAAGCTATTGGACAAGTATGATTGATTAATATTATTAAGCATAAAAAGAAACAGGAACGAGAGGAACTGGATACGAAGAAGGAGGAGGAGGAAAAGAAGGAGAAAAGAGCTTTGGGTGGGTAAAGAATAAGAGAAAGAAAGAGGGGCAGAAGAAGAAAGAGATAAAGAAAATAGAGAGATAGATAGAAAGAATAAGAAGAAAGGAAAAAATGTAATAGTAGGAGAAAAGGAAGAATGAGGAGAAGGTAAAACAGAAGGAGAAAAAGAAACGAGAGGAGAGCAGGAAATAGAGGAAGAAGACGGCAAGGAAAAAAGGTGAAGACAAAGAGAAGGAATGTGAAATATGCAAGCATTAAAGGTAAAACAAAGTTTTGGTATGGGGTCTTGAATTTTGGTTTAAAAAAACAAGTTGGAAGCAAATGCGATCTTACAATATTCAGTGATCGTTGTCGCTGTTGAGATCGAGTCTAAAGCTATGAAACTGTAAATGATAAACTATTTATGATGTATAGCTCCCTCTCAAGGTCAAGATATTAATTAAGCAATAAAAAAATGTTTCTTGACTAAAACCGACCGAATAGCTATTTCCGTTTGGAAATTATATATCACAGCTACATATTCTGAGATTTTCATGGTCGCAGCTACCATTGTACAGCCGTAGGAGCTATTTGAAATTTATCCAAAAATTTTCTCGAAAGCAGAAGTGTTTCAGGTGCTAACTTTTTTTAGTGCTTATAATAAATCCACATGCCGGCATCCAAATATATCAAAATTGTAAAGAATCACTATCCACCCAATTTTCAAATTTCCCCAAACTTTGTATTACCTTTAAGACTTCAGAAGGTTGCAGCCCTCTTAGGATGGCTCGTCCTTAGAGCAATATATTGAAAAGGAAGAAGTTATGTACTGCCATCTTTGATACGGTACAGTGTTCCTAACTTCCCTTAAACCGTTTGATTTTGAATCTAAGAGAAAGAGGAAATATTTTTGTCAATGCTGTATTATCTTGTGAACAAAATCCCCTAGAATCGATATTTATATCACGTTATAATAAAATACAATTATTTGTGTTGCAATATAGTCAGAAGGTCATGGAATTTCTTCTTACTGGTTAAAAGTCCTCAAATGTTTGTCTATTATCAATATCACCCCCACACTGTAAAAAAGAATTTGTTCATTGGTAATTTTTACGTATTTTTTCCATGTAGAATTTACTTGAAAACATTAGTTTTGCCACTTACGCACTAAATTTAAGTCTTGCTAACTCAAACTTTCAATTTAGTAGAACATACGTGGAATATTTAAGTAAAATCAAATACATAAGAACTTTAAGTAATTTCAGCTTGTATTTATTTAGTAATTTTAACTCAAAATCAGAAATTATACGTATTACTCAAACAATTTATGTTGATTATTCTTATCTTTTTAAAGTAAGGACCGATGCAGTGCGTAATAGAAATATTTACATAATTTATGAATATTCATTAAGACCAAATTAAATTCTTTTTTAAATAAAACAATTCTTGTTTGTGGTTGAATGAAAATTTAAGGACTTTAAAACATTTACTAATTCATTTAACATGGCTAAGCAAAGACAAGACAATTCTTAATTGTTACCCAGTTCAAAACAAATCAAAACTTGATATTTCAGGAAATTGTCAACCAATTTTCCTTTTAAGATGCTACGATCAAGTATATATAAAATTTGGAGCCTTTCAATATGTGTCGAATTGAAGCGTACGTAATAGTTTGTGATGGTGGTAGATATATTATATATATATATATATACGGTTAAATCTTAAATAGAAGTAGTGTTAGTGATTAGTGATTAATCTTAAATAGAAGTAGTGAATGATTAGTGGATGTTATTTGTTAGATTAGATGGGTACCAAATCGTGCAATATGTAATCCTATCATAGCTTTTTTTTTTAATTATCTAAAATGATTACAATACTTAAATATTTACGTTAATGTAACTCGATTTAAGTGAGTAAAAATTTATTCAGCAAAATAAGTAAATTCTACTTAAGATGCCGTAGGTAATATTTATTTAATAAAAATAAGGCAATTCTTTTCCTCAATTTGATTGAGTTATTTCGACTATTATTTTTTTACAGTGCAAAAGCCCTACTCCGACCCCACCCCACCCCTTGCCCCAAGGCCCTATTTTGCATTCAAAATCGTCTTTCGATCCTATCTGTAATATTAAATTTACTTTCTCTTTCTTTGTATCAGTTGTTATCATTCACTGTCTCAAAGAAATTGTATCATTCACTGTCTTGATTCACATTCCTCGGCCGACTCAGCCAGCCGCTGAACACTACATGTACTTGAAAAATGTATTCAAATTATGCTTTAAAAAAAGCTCAATTATGCCAGAATTTTGCTAAAAACAGCCAAATTATGCCAGATGCGAAAAGGGTCAAAATTATGCCAAGTAGCATAATTATGCCAGATCTGACAACGTTGCCGATAAGTGCGCTATTACAGAAAAAGCCTTTATTATCATTTTCATGTCTTCTGTTCGGGAAATTGTGTTCTATTGTTGTCGGAAAAATTTGTATTTTTTTTATGGGGACATAAAAATGACTTAATTCTCTGCAAATTTTCATTTACTTCATTACGTTTGTTTTGCTTTGTGTGTGGTTAATGATACTCTCAGAAGTCAGAAGTACACACTCTCTCTCTCTCTCTCTCTCTCTCTCTTTCTCTCTCTTGCTCTCTCTTGCTCTCTTTCGCTTCTCTTCTCTTCAACTTCTTCTTATTTTTCACTTTTCTTCTTCTACTTCTTCTTCTTCTTCTTCTTCTTCATCTTCTTCTTCTTCTTCTTCTTCTTCTTCTTCTTCTTCTTCTTCTTCTTCTTCTTCTTCATCTTCTCCATATTTTCTTCTTCTTCTTCGTTTTCTTCTTCTTTTTTAATTTCTATATGATCTCTTTTCTTCTGTTCTGGTCTCGTCTTTTCTCTCTTCCATCAGCTCTCACAATCTCTCCCTCATTTAACTGCCATATAGGCTCCCATATAGGCCCTAAAGATGTATGCTCATTCATACCTTCCTGTTTTCTATCATAACACAGTTCAAGCAAAGTTCAAGTTGAGTAATAATGGTTTTTTAATGATTATTCATGTCTTTTTGCCTGTTTCATGTATTAGTGTAAAAGCATCTTAAAGGGATAGTTGAGTTCTGTTTTCAGACCGAAAATGCCTTCAAAGTACATGGTTATTGCTCTTATTCTTATCTATGACATTTCTAGTGCCCTTTTAGAACCTAAAATTGCTATGAAGGTAATCTTAGACCCCAAAATGTGTGAAATTTAGCGAATACGAGCATACTAATTCAGCTCCACTTTAAAAAATAACGGCGACCGTTAATTAATTATTTAATTAAAAATAACAATACATGGGCCGGCTGATTGTGCGTAATAATAATTATAAGCAGCACGAAAATGCCAACAAAAAAGCCAACATCGGCATCGGCTGAAATACGACGTAAAAGGCGTTATTTCGTTTTTTCAACGAGTTTTTTCAAATTTTTCAAAATATCTAATATTTGTGGTGGTATACTAATATTAGAAATCGTTATATTTTAGCCGTCTCTGAACCGCTTTTGATCAAACAAAGATGATTTTGTAATTGAAATATTGTGTTCTTTCAAATTTAAAAAATTATTTTGTGTAGCGCCCTCTGCAACAGAACCCAACTATCCCTTTAATTATTTCAGCTTCCAGCTGCGATGATTTTAAAATTTAATAAACCGTAATAAAATGTTAACAGTGAAACCCTGACAACAGCCAATAAATAACGTTAAAAACTGCATCTTTATTTTTGTACATTTCACACAAAAAGCAATATTTTACAAAATAGCACGCATATCTGGATATTAACCAAATACAAGTAGTTTTAACTGACAAGGGATAATATTGCAAACAATATAGATGGAC